TTTGCCATATAAATTACGACAAAATAAGTAACATATGTTGAGTCATACTGGCACGAGCTCACATATCTAGTATACATAGGTGAGCTTAAAGTATCAATTGCATAACATCATAAATTCTTTACGTAAGATGATTCATTGCTATTGCTATGACTAATGTCTATTTTTCAACATGTTTTATGAATATTTTGGGCAATAATCCTTTTCTTCAAAGGATCAACAATCATAATTAGTTTGACGTTAATATATATTATTGACATTTTACATTTCTTTATTTTCTTTTTAATGGTGAAGTATTTTTATTTCATATGCTTAATATCTCTTAATATAAATGATAGAATAAATTATACCATAAAAATTTACCGAGGATAAAATAAAATTGTTGTGTACAATATTTTAATCCATAGAATATTCCTATCTTTTACCTCCACAATCAAATAGTATCATCATCTAAGACATTTAATTTTATAGTTTTTTTTACAAATTTATTTTTATGCATAAATAATTTATTTAAAAAAATCATTTTTTTCGTTTCAACTCATAAGTAGTCGAAATGTAGTGAAATAGATGAAACTGATCTTTTTTAATTAGAGATTTGAATATGTACATAGGCAAATAGGCTCTGTTCGATACGAATAATTAAATCGAACTTCAATGTAAATACTGAACAATAGATTGGAAAAAAAATAAAATCGAAAGTAGTCATTTCGAGTCATTTTTAACTCACGTTGTATTGGGTTGAGGAAAGGCTTAAAATAGTCCATTATCTTTGAGTTTAGACTCAAAATAGTCCTATTTCTTTTTAGTGGAGCATTAATAGTCCTGATTCTTTAATAAAGTGGTGCATTTTCAGTCTCCATCTTAACCATAGTTAGTTTTTTAATAGACCAGTGGGTTATGCACATGACCTGAATTTAAATCTGATAATTAATTGGGTTTTCTTCATTTCTTTCTTATATTTGTTCATTTAATTCAATTTCTTTACCTGAGAAACCCCTTTACTGTTCTTCAGTCCCTTTTACTTCCTATTTCTAGTTTTTGTTCCTTTCTGTAATTTGGGGCTTCTGGCAATTTTGAAGGAAAATAAGAATTGCATAGACTATATTTTGGTTCATTAGTTTTCCTCGCTGAATAAACGAAAGTAAAGGAAAGAAGGGTAACCGAGAGCCTACTTATTCTATAAAGTTTCATACTTTTTCGAGAAAAAATATATATTTTCAATTCACCTAGATTGATTTCAAATTTTAGTTTTCACTTGTATTAGCACCTTCTGAATGAATGGTTAAGTTGAAGACGACACTAACATACTAGAAGGGCACAAAGATAACATGATTTTAGAGGTAAAGAGATATCAAAATACAAAGAGCAATAGCTGCAACACAACACTAAGAAGTGCAGCATAGTAGCAACACCAGAAAAAAAAACAGAACTATAACATCATTTTAAAGTTCAAAACACTTGAAAATGCATAAAAATAACTCCAAAAGTATAGTATATTGGCAACACCGCAACACCTACGAATTTAGAACAATACAACACTTGAGAACAACAACACTTGAAAATGAAACAGAGGAACACCACATGAGAATGCAATATAGTTACAGCATCATATCCACCAACAATCTGATAGCAATATAGTAGCACCAAAAAGGAGATATCAACATCTGAAAAATGCATAGATAAGCACTTGGATAAGGCTAAACCACCATAAACATTGAACACATATTAGCACTCAAAATAAGCTAAATTACCAGTGATTCATTTTAACTTTGTGTTTGCTGAGAGTATATCCAACCAGAATCTATATCAATTACTTCTTCTTGTCCAACTGTTTTTTCTTGTCCAGCTCCTTCTTGTCTAGTTTTTTCTTGTCCCGCTTCTTCATGTCCTCTTCTAACCTGAATCATAAATTCACATATAAATTGTGTTAGTTTAAGATTATCCGATAAGAAACCAATTCTAATTTAGTTAAGATATAGTAGTACGGGTAGTTTTGACGAACTGAAGTAGTCTCTTGTGACACAACATTATATTTGCAAGTTTTTTTGTTATGACCAGGCTTGTTGCATGTACTGCAGTCTAGAGATTGTTGCTTTCTTTTCATCTTTGTTCGACTTGCTCCAACTTCATCGGCTTCCTTTCTTCTCGCCTTTTGTTTTCTTCCTCTCTTTTTATTTCCTATGATTGTTGGAGGTAATGGAGGAACTTTAGTTGATTTAGCCCACATTTGTGGCCCATTTATCGGAAGAATTGCATGTTTATAGATTCTTCTATATGTTTCGACTTTGTAACAATCATCATAGTCAAGAATGATATCCTTCTTCGCCCGAATTGCTGCAATAACATGTTTGCAAGGAATTCCCATGATACTCCATTTTCTACAACTACATATTATGTTCTCCAAATCAACAGCCCAACTATCATGAATAGTAGCTCCTATAATCTCATAATTCCATTGATTAGATTTTCTAGAAATATACTCACCCGCTGCAGTCTGATTTTTGTGCAAAATATCCTTAATCTTTGGACAAACATCATTCGAACTCCATTTATGCGCTTTCTCCCTATTAGCTAACATTCTAGCCATGAGAAGATATTGTAATTTCTCCAAAAGTGTCACAATAGGCTTGTCTCTAGCATCAAGGATCATGTTATTAAACACTTCACAAATGTTATTTAATAATATATCACACTTGGCATCTGAAGAGAAATGAGACCTTGACCATTGGCTAGGTTCTTTGTCATTGAGCCAATCGGCAGCATTTGAATCTAACTCTCTTATACGTACCATGCAAGCATCAAATTCTTTTACAGTGGTAGCCTTTGCAGCTGCCCAAAATGCTTTTTTTAATGTGAACCCACCAAAACCAGCTCTCTTAAAATTGTTATGAAGATGTCTCGCACAAAATCTATGACTAACATATGGCTAAACCTCATTAAAAGCTTCAACAAGACCTTTTTGTTTGTCGGACATAAAGGTCCAATCAGTCTCATCTACATCTAAATCAGCTGCCAAATAGTTCAAAAACCAAACCCACGACTCTTTACTTTCTTTCTCAACAATTGCATAGGCAATGGGAAATATATTATTATTACCATCAATTCCAACAACAGTTAACAGTTGAGTCCCATACATTGGACCCTTCAACCAACAACCATCCACGCCTATTATTTTTCTGCATCCTACCTTGAAAGCTAGCTTGCAAGCAGCAAAATAGATGTATATCCTTTGAAATTTGTATGGCTTGTTCGGTATCTCATTCTCAGTGAACTTCATATGAATTGTACTACCTGGATTTGTCCTATCAATTTCAATACAATAATCCCACATCATTTTGTATTGATCCTGGATATCACCATCAATCAATGCAATAGCTAACATCTTAGCTCTTTGGCTTGAGATAAAGTTACATGAGCTCGTAGATCTACACTTACTCTATCTCTAAAATCAACTAAGCTCCAAGCCCTGTTTGATTTAATTTCTGTGAGGTATTTTCTAGCAATGAATGATGCTGTTTTTTTTCTATTATCATAATGCCACTCCTTGCAATTATGTGTAGGAATGTACTTCCTAATCTGGAAAGACGTATCCCTTTGCATTTTACATGCTGTGATTTCCCATTTGCACTCTGAATGTATACAAACGGCCTTCATTCTTTCTTTGTCATTTTTGAGCCATTGGATATACTTTCCATTCTTAATCTCATGAGTAACTACTGCACTTTTAAAATCTTTCTTGCTTTCAAAAACACATTCTAGAGCTAAAATTGGATTGTCTCCATCTGTTTGTGGATTGAATGTAGGAAAGTTCAAGATCTCATTTTCAGAATCACTATGCAAACTTTTTGTGTCCGTAGAATCAACACAATCAGACTCTCCTTCTGGAGCTGTCATCTTTCTTTGTGCTTCGATACTAAAGATCTCCCATTCATCCACTATGTATTGTGCAGTCTTTTCATGTTTATCAACAAGTAAACCATCAGTTAACTCAACTTCCGAGTCACTGAAATCATTTGCCAATGGATTTTCTTGAGCAAGTTGTTGTCTGTTATTATCTGCAGCATTTGAGCTATGTATAGAAGTCATATTTTCTATATTGAAATATGAATCCAAGTGTTCGAAGTAAATTTCGATCATGTTGTCATTTGGGATGTTTTTGCGAACAACATGGGCTTCATTATCTGTAGACACCAACCTCCATCTATTACCAGATCTTCCACATCTATGCCAAAAAGTTATTGAATTCTTTAAGTATCCACAAATCTCTGCCATCTTCTTAAACTCATCAAGGTCCAATTTGTTTGCATTAACATAATCAATATAGTCTATGTTGCCCTCAACATAATGCTTTTCTGGAGTACGTTTCATAACTCCTCCGTGGTGTATTTTGATACTGAAAAATGATGTATTTGCCATCGATTCTAAAATAGCAAAAAATATATTCTAATCAACACAAATAATACATATACAACATGATATTAATATTAAAGCAAATAACAAAAAGTATAAATTTCAGGGGCATTGATTAAGTCATAAAACTTCTAAAATATTAACAAAGTTACAAGGCGACATCTTTATGTATATATATATATATATATATATATATATATTCATAAACGTACTTCTTGTGTTGAATTATTTTTTGGGATAGTGGGATTTGATTAAAAGAACTTAAAATAAAATCGTACTTACCATAAATTAGAGGTGATTCTCTGTCATCGTTGCTCCTTAAAAACATTATAACTTCCAAACTTTGATTATATTATTGAAGAAAGTATAATGCAGGTTTCAGATTTTAGGATTATTTGGAGATTAGAGATAAAGAGGGGAAAAACTAAGAAAGAAGACTAATGTTTCAAAAGGAGAAGCTCAAATGGCATTGCAATAGCAAGAGTCTTTAAGTTTGGCGGGAAACATATGAGAAGCACGTGCATAACCCACTGGTCTATTAAAAAGTCAACTGTGGTTAAGATAGAGATTGAAAATACACTACTTTATAATTGAGGAGCATAGATCGTTTTGTTAGTGTATTGAAAGTTATAATTTTCGGAGATTATTATTGAAAATGCCTGTGAAAGTAGCGAGTGCGTCATATCGGGATCGGACTCAGGAGTTTCAGAGTATAGCGGAGAGGTTAAAGAAGTCATTTTCGTCTTTTCAGAATGGGCCGATTAGCAGCAGCACCAGCAGTGGTTCTAGATCGGAGGAACAGAGGACCACTATTGCTATGCAATCGGAGTTCAATCGGCGAGCCTCCAAAATTGGTTTTGGAATACATCAAACCTCTCAGAAGCTTGCAAAGCTAGCAGAACGTAGGCCAATATTAGGACATCTCTTAGTCTCTCAAATACTTCATTTTGTATTAAGGATTCACTCTATATCCTATTTGTTTGTGAGATTGTACCATGCCCGGCTAAAAGAGGAAGGGTAGCTGTATGTCGGCAACCAAACTAAAACTAATCAAAATATATCATTAGCCCACTCCAACTAACTTGATGTTGAGGCATAGTTTTGGAGTTTCTAGTTGTTCTATGTCCCATTTAGTTCTTGACCCTATTAAATAGTAGCAAACAATTTGGAATGGAGGAGTATTTCTGTACTCCATTTGTCCCATTATACAACTCTTTCAATAATTGGATAACCTTACAATTTCTTGAACATTTTATATCTTTCATAGTAGTTAGTATAGTAATTCTGATTAACTTTCGGATGTGTCAAATTGTATTTTGAAAAAAACGAAATTACTTGTATTTGGGATCAGTCTGTAGATTAGAGATTTCACATTTGGTTCTTCAACACCGTAGTTGGGACACTGGGATTTCTTTTGACAAGTTAAATAGTATAATTAACAGTGGGAAGAAAAATTCCTGATTACAAGAGGTATATTAGAAGTAGAGAACCTACGTCAAAACACGATTCTCTACAACGGACCTCTCAATCCTTTATACAAGTAGGAATACCGAGATTATTAACTTTTTCATTCTAGCAATCATGCGAGTCATCCCACTATTGGGAGGAAATATGAAGTCACACTAAACCACACTGCTAAGAAATGTATAATTATGGAGGTTGTGGTTGCATTTGTCACTCTTGAAAGTTATTAAGTTTTGAATTGTGATATGAAGGATTTACAATTTTGTTGCTAATATAAGCTTAATTTAGCTGATGTGAGCTGGGCTTTAGCCTCTGAGTGTTAGTGTCATAATGTGCATCCAATGAACTTGATGGCTTTTAGTTTTTTTTTTTTTTGATAAGGTTGATGGCCTTTAGTTGTAGCACATATAATTCTTCTCCATTACAGAGCGCTTGATGTTCTTTGGAAAAGAGATTCTGAAACACTCACTTGGTGGGATATTCTAAGTGGGGTGATTTTCTTTGAAAAGGTTTCATTCTAATATAAGCTTAATTTAGCTGATGTGAGCTGGGTTTTAGCCTTTGAGTGTTGGGTCATAATGTGCATCCAATGAACTTGATGGTAGCACATATAATTCTTCTCCAATACAGAGCGCTTGATGTTCTTTAGAAAAGAGATTCTGAAACACTCACTTGGTGGGATATTCTAAGTGGGGTGATTTTCTTTGAAAAAGTTTCATTTTTATAGCTTCAGTCCCAGGGTTTAAAGGTTCTACTCGAAGTTCTCAGTTCGGAGTTTCTTCATTGAAGTTTGGGTCTGATTTCTCTGATTAGAAATCTTCGTCTAAAATTGAGGCTTCTTCTCATTTTGCTGCAAATTTTGGATCAGTAATGAACGTTAGCTGAAATATCGGAGTTCGGATCAAATTTTTCTGGTCTCTGTTCAAAATTCTTTTATATTGCAGTGGCCCATGTATATGTCTGGTAGATTATTTTACCATTTCAGAGGACCAATATCAGTCGCACTCTAGGTAATTTTCTTCTTTTCTGGTTAAGTCTTGGTAGATAGGTTATCTGGTACAATGATACGTATGATGGTGGAAGGTAGCAGAATCTGATGGAGTAATTGAGTTGCACATAAGCTGGCTAAGCTGTCCTGATGCCACCATTATTATAAAAAACATGTGTAAAGTGATAATCTGGTAAATGACAGTGTTTAACTTGGAATCTTCCATTTTTATGGATTTGCTAAGCATTAGAGTTGTGGAAAAAGCAACTTAGAGCTTTCACGGATGAAAAGCTTTCTTCCAACTTCAGTCCTGTTACTTTCTGGATTTTGAAGTTAGTTGTTTCTTCTAATATGACCTTTCATTTTTCTTATCCAAATCCTATTTAATAGTATTCTGTGAAGAATGGAATACTTTATTCTATGGTGCTTTGAAGTTAATCTTTTTTGTTCTGTTTCTGGGGTTGACTTTTACCTTAGTGGTTTGACTTTGCTATCTTTCTTTTACTCCTTGGTTTTCTTTTTAGCCATTTCAGTATGTTTTGACTATTTGGTCAAATCTTATGCATTTTCCTTCTTATTCAGAAACAACATTCACGCCTAGTTTTATTCAGAATTTCTATGCTTTAAGACATTCCTTTTGCCTATTGAAGTGGCAAAGTCATCAATTTTGGCGTACTAGATTACACAGTTCCCTTAAAGGCCCCAGTTATGACCTCCCTTTATATTTTCTCATCATGGGTTCGTGGGGCAGTTCAGTTTGTTGTGTATAATGATTTAAGCACGGTGTTAGAAATTCATGTAAAAGGAAATATAGGTGCAAACTTGGGCAACTGATCTTTCTTATGGATGCTAAGGAAATTTGGGTAATGAGTTGCTAAATCTGATGTTGCTTGGACTCTTCAAAAATGTCTATGGGTGCATGTCGGCTTCTCCTAAAGTAGTGTATTTTTGGAGAATCCGACACGGGTGCGGCATCGAAAGTGAAAAGTCCATGCAACTTAGGCTAAATCTAATCTTCTCAAGTCCTCAAGGACCATAATGGATTTTCTTGTTCAAGTTTATCTTTAATACTGCAGTCCCTCCCTAGATTTCATGTTCCTACTAACCTGACCATTTATGCTTTTTGTTTCTTCTCAAACTGTAAAAGAGAGATGTTGACCCTTATTTTATTTTTTAAACATATTATTGGTTTATACCAGGGCCTTGGCTCTTTGACACTTATTTATGTTGTGATTATAATCAGGGCCAAGGTTTCTGATCTTTATCTAAAAGTGGTTTATGTTTCATTCCAGTGGCAAAAAGGACTTCCGATTTTGATGATCCGACTACAGAAATCCAGGAGCTGACTGCAGTCATCAAGCAAGATATTACAGCACTTAACTCTGATGTAGTAGATCTCCAGCTTCACTCTAATTCTCGTAATGAAAGTGGTAATAGTGATACCATTAGTCACTCGACGACTGTTGTAGATGACTTGAAGAACAGGCTGATGACTGCCACAAAGGAGTTCAAAGAAGTACTCACCATGCGGACAGAGGTGAGACTAGCCAGATGCTGGTTATATCTTCTTTGTTAGCCTGTTTTCTTACTCAAATAGATCTTTTGTGAGTCTCAATTTAGCGAAGGCTTCTATTTACTATTTTTTTTGTGGCTACATGTATCCTTCAACTTTTTGGTCGTTAACAGTAGAAAAAATACACTTCATCATGGTCATTTACATTTTCTTGAATTTCTGTTTCCAGAATATGAAGGTTCATGAGAACAGACCCCACCTAGTGGTATTTCACTGGTTATGTTGCTGTTGTCCACTAGCTTCAAGGAATACTGCTAGTACATCAGCCAGTCCTCCTCCTTGGGCTAATGATTCAGCTTCTTCTTCTCAGTTATTTCCAAGGTGAGGAAATACACCGTCTTAGCAGTTCATGCCTTACAGGCCTGCTATCACTGAACATATTAGTAGCCATGAGTTTCTTTTGTAATTATGGGAATGTCTTGCTTGCTATATTTTTATTACAATGATTTTAAGTAATTCAAAAGAATAGATGAAACTCTAGGAGTCTGTTCTTCTTTCCAACCTTTGCTTTTGGTAATCTTGACATGATTACTGATCTACCCATGTTGATGCCAAAAAGAAATTACAAATGATTCATTTGTTAAAGGTTGAAAGAGAGGAGATAGCTATTTCTCTCGTGGGAATAACCTTTTCAGTCTATGGCCCAATCTGTCTCCCTGAGTTAACTACTGGACAGTCCCGTATAATAACTTCTCCAAACATGATCTACGATAATACTAAGTACCTTTATTTTATCCTATTTGTCTAATCTGTTACTAAATCCAAATTTTTCTTAACCCCTTTCTTCCATGAAACTTATATTCTTGAATTGGTGAAATTGAATAAGACACACACCTTGTTTGGATGAATGCTGTTTGGTAACAGTTCAAGTGGTCGGAAGTTTCGATCTCTATCTGGTTAAAATGTTTGGGGGCTGATCTCCTGGAAGTTTGGTTTCACATGATCTTTTGCTTTAAAAATCATGAGAAATTTAAATGGTACACTCCTACCCCTTACCGACATTTCCCCATGCCTCTCCCCTTTAACACACACTATTCTTCCCTTGTCTGTTTCCTCCCATGGGCCTCCTTTTATCATTTCATTATTTATCTTCTATCAGTATACTAAGATTGTATTGTTTACACTCTTTTGACTTATTACCTAGTTACTCTAATTGCCTGTATCGGAACTTTGTGCATTCTTCTCGTCTTGCTATATTTGTTGGTTATCTATTTGATCTTATCTTAATATCTCTCTCCCTCTTTTAATTATAGCCAAATTTGTGTTATTTCAATAAATTTTATAGTTTTAGCCACATTTTTTGTCAAATGGCACAAATTGATCAAAAAGTATTATATATGTTAGAATACTTGAATATGACAATACTCACTGGTGGTTATTAAGTTTACGGAGTACAAATAACAATGTAGTATAAAGTTAAGTAAAATAGAGGCAGTGGTGGTAGTGTTTGTGCTATGGTCAATAAAGATGACCTGACCACGACAGATGGTGCCCTATAAGGTCCAAACGAAGTAGCTGAGGGACGGGAGGGTAAAGATGAGTTATCATCATTGGAGCCATCTTATTGTAGGCAATTGAAATAAATGCATGTCACTGGTGGAGGTTTTTATTGCCTTGTTCTATTCTGGTTCCTGCTTAGTCAAAGGGCCTAGGTGAGCCTACAAAGGCTAGTTTTGGTGGTGTTGAAGATGTTACAAAACAAGTTAGACCTAAAATCATAGAAAGGAAGTCATTTTGAGAGATCTACAATCTCTTAAAATCCATGCAGACTTGGCAAAAAATAGAATATAATAGAAGAAAAAGATCCTCAACTAGTTGAGCTTAAGGCTAAATCTTGTTGGTACAGTCAAATTAGTCCAACATTTGCTAAGAGTTTTTCTTATTTTGTTGGGGGGTTTGTGTGCAAGTTGAGAATGTAGTGTATTTTTAGGGTTAGAAAACCTAAATTTATAGAATATTGGCATGAGATGAGTCTAAATGGACAATGGGGATTCATATGTCTTGTCTGACCCCAACTAACTTTGGATTTAGGTGTAGCTGTAAGTCACATGGTCATTCACTTTTTTAATAAGTTAAATAATGTTTATTAATGGTTGGAAGAACCCTCATATGCTAGCAACCAAGCAGTATACCAATAAGTAAAAAATCTGCAGCAAAATATGATTTTCTACAAAAGAAAACACCCAACCATCTATACAGAATTTCATGGGTGCACTAAAAAGAAAACAGACATGAGAAGCTTCTCTTCAGATGTACAAAACAATTTATATATTAGCATCCTTGTCTACTTCTACTTGTCCCAAAAATAACATCCTTTGGTACTTTTCTTTGTCCAAACTGTAATTATTATCTGGAAAAATAACTAAGGTAAACCAGACCCTGTTCTTCATCTGTTTTTCGTGCTCGCTTTGGGTTTTTTAAGTATCACTAAGTTTTTCCCTTCTTGTAGGAAGCAAGGGGATGGAAACACACAGCCATTGTTGCAGGATCAACAACAGCAGCAGCAGCAGCAGATAGTTCCATTGCAAGACAGCTTCATGCAGAGTAGAGCTGAAGCTCTTCAAAATGCCGAGTCTACTATCCATGAGCTGGGCAGCATTTTTAATCAGCTTGCTACCTTGGTTTCTGAGCAAGGGGAGGTTGCAGTCAGGTTTGTATAACAATTGTTTTTGCACTCAGAAAATAAACAGATGTAGGAGATGATGATGATGATGAAGATAATAATAATTCTTTTATAATAATTATAATAATAATAATAATAATGGTGATGATAATAGAAGGATTTAGGAGATTTCAATGCATCGTATTGTCATAGTTATCTTTGTACAACCAGTTGGCACCAATGTAGTCTCCTAGTGGTAAAGACGTAAAGTTAAATATGTGAGATGGCAAGTAATGAATATTTTGTTTGTTAACTTCTATCAACTAATCACTAGTTTTGGATGATCACTCTGATCAATACTTTGATGTCTTCTCTTGTTGATATCCTATTTTGCATGGTAAAAGTTAATTTTTTAACCTTTGCATGAACTTTTGGACTGAGAAACATTAACGTTCCAATATGGGATCGGATCATGCATCCACCATCTGCTAGTTGATGGAAGTTTTTAGTACTTTGAGCTATCTGTATTTAGAATCTTGTAAAATGGTGCCTTCTACTTAAAGTTTGTTGCTTCTCCTGTTGTCTGTTGGGTGTAAAACCTTGTACTACCTGATTGTTGATATTAAACTGATACTCACAAGTCACAATATAGTCCTTAGTTACGACTTCTGATCAAGATACAATGGGGTGAGGGTGGGGATGGGTAACAAATTCTTTTAGCAGTAAAGTAATATCTTGGTTTCTGTCACAGGATTGATGAGAACATGGATGACGCACTAACAAATGTGGAAGGGGCACAAGGGGCTCTGCTCAGGTACCTCAATAGCATCTCGTCAAATCGGTGGCTAATGATTAAGATATACTCTGTGTTGATTTTCTACCTTATGATTTTCCTATTTTTTGTGGCATAGTGAACAATGGACATTCGACAAAGTGTGATGTAGAAAGACAAATAATCGTGTATTTTAGATAAGTTGCTCCGACCCCTGGGAGCGCTACTGTAATGTTTCAAAAGTTCGAATTTGGATGTTTACATCCCTACTCTATTCAAATAGGGCGAAACGTCGTGGTGAGTAAAAAATAAACAATTGATTCAATTTTAAAAGAATTTTAAGAAAATAAGAATTTTAAAGGAGTCGTCACCTAATTTTAGGAAAACTAGGAAACCAATTAATTAATCTACGAAACCAAGATATTCTAGATAGAGGGTTCAAGTTATTTAGAAGGGAAGGGGTTAGGCATTCTTCGAAATTCACAAATGTGGATCTTGACTGAATTCATTTGTTTTTAAATTGAGGATGAAAATAAATAATGTACAAATATAATAAACATGCAATATACACAAGTAATATGATAAAACAATAATATAGGAATCGGCCTAAATTTGTTTATCGTCAATAATATACAATATAAATAAGAGTATAATTCGAATAATTTCAATAGGAACCACCTCCGGGTACCTGTAAAGACACTTAGTAAAAGTGTTGTTATAAATAAATATGAATCAAAAATTAATTTTAAAATAAAAATCCGTCTTATTAACATGGGAGACCTTAGAAATCGACGGTAATTTCTTCATCGGCCATTTTGAACAAACAAAATATATGAAATTAAACTAAATTTTCGTTTTTTACAATGTAAAGGCCTCCAAAATCGATAGAGAGATTTTCTCATTGGCCATTTTGAACAAACAAAATATATGAAATTAAATTAAATTTCCGTCTTTTACAATGTAAAGGCCTCTAAAATCGACGGAGAGATTTTCTCATTAGCCATTTTGAACAAACAAAATATATGAAATTAAATTAAATTTTCGTCTTTTACAATGTAAAGGCCTCCAAACTCGACGGAGAGATTTTCTCATTAGCCATTTTGAACAAACAAAATATATTCAATATCAATTAACAATAACAAAAAATGACAAAATATTATCTTAACATCAACAAAAGGTAACAGTAACCTGAAAAGTATAAAATTTACCGCAGGCAACACCATTATTAATAACAATATTAAATCCAACAAAATATAGCAAATATAATTTAAACTATTAAATTAATAGATTAGACAACAATTAAAAATAAGATAAGCATACGGAACAAAAGAACAATCAATAAAATAATCATAATAAAGACAAAATTAACACTAAAACAAATAACTCGATGTCAACAAATGAATAAAGTCATAAAGAATTAACAATATAAAATAATGAGAAAGTAACTATCCTAATAAAATATCCATAAGTTGAGAATGAAATCACAATTGAAAATATTCTTTAACCATTAAACATTTAATTTAAATAAAAAAAAATTCAAAGCATAGCCACTGTAAGAGTAAACAAACAGCAAATCAATACAAAAGCTGTGAATAAACAATCAAACCAAAATAACACAGTATAATATCAACACAACAAATCGGAAAAGACAAACTTTATCAAACTCCGGCCAAATCTGGAAAAGCAATGAACGAAGTAAAATAGTTACAACAAAAATAAAACATAGAGGATTACTTGTTTGCCGGAGCTACGGAGGTTGGCGTTTTGCTGGTTGTGTCTGGTTGTTCGTGGAGCTTGAAGCTCGCACTGGTGGGAACTCATTTTTTCATCGGAGCTCACCGACTTTGAGCCAAAATACCTGTAAAAAGAAGAAAATGTAAAAGGGGACGTGGAAGGGATCTGGCAGCGACTGGGTTGTTGTAGTTTATTGAAAAGGGATGGTCTGGGTCGGGGTTTTGGATGGCTGCTCGGAGCTTTGGTTGCTGGTTTATGTGGCTGTGGCGATTGACTTAAAGGGGGTTTTGGTCTGGTTGGAGAGGGAAACGGGGTGGTTTGGAGGTGGCGAGCTCGAAGCTCGCCAGTGGATCTGGAAAAGGAATAAAATAGGTAGTGTGGGGATCGTTTGGCTGGTTTTGGGTCTGTTGGTGTGTTGTTTGCTGTTGTGTGGGTCTGGTAAGGAAAAATGGTTGTTTTGGAGTGGGGTTTTTGGGTGGTTGTTGCTGGAAACGAGGAAAGGGGAAATGGGGTTGTTTCCGGTGACCATTTCACCGGAAAAAGGGGAAAAAGAAGAGGGTTTTAGAGTTGCCGGAGCTTAGCCGGAATCCGGGATGGTGGTGGCCGGAAAGTTAATGAATAGTAGAATCCATTTTGAATTCAAATCTGTAAATTTTACAACCCTATCTAAAAAATAAATTCACCACTTCTATTTTTTAAGGGCTAATTACTTGAGTGGATCTCTTTTAAAAAATAATTACTTATTTTAAATATACTTTTTAATTATTACCATTTATAGCAATATATAACAATACTATATATTTTATTAGATTTGTCTCTCTCTCTTGCCTCTTTCTCCCTTTTTATTTTTTATGTTGTTCTTTCTCTTTTGTTTTTTTTTTTTGCTGCTTTTTTTTTGTTGCTCTTTCTCTTACTTTTTTCCCCTTTCTCTCTCTCTATTTTTTTTTTTGTAGAGTAGTTAATGATTCGTAAACTAAATAAAATTTGTATCAATAATTAATTAATTAGGCAAGTAATCTAATCGTAACAAATGAAGAGACATAATAAATTACAAAATGAATTAAATTTACATTAAAAATGTATTCCACAAATATTAAAGTTGAATTAGTAGAGAATTAAATATGAATGCAAAATATAGCAAATCAAATAGCATTCTATGTAAACTGAATGAATTTGTATCAACAATGAATTTCACAAGTAATTCAATCGTAACAAATCAATAAATTACAAAATGAATTAAAATTGTATTTAAAAGTGTATTACACAAATATTAAACAAGTAAATAAATTAAATTTGCTTTAAAATTGTATTACACGATATTAAAGTTGAATTAGAAGAGAAAATTAAGAATGAATGAAAAACATAACTAACGAAAGACAAAACACCGATCTATAAACTGAATTAAATTTGTAGTATTCATGAATAAAACATGAATTATATGTGTCTAATAAATTATTTTGGATTTGTATCACTAAGAACGTAAGTGATGTTTGCAATATGTATTAAAAATGTATTGTGCATATATTATAAGTATGTTACCTAAATTGTTTTAGTTGGTATCATTAAAAAGGGAGTGAAATTTGCAATATGTACTATAAATGTAGGATGTATTGTTCATGAATTTTATACAATTTTAATACAATTATGAAACATATCTAATACAACTTTAATACAAACCCGATATAGTTCCATAAACTTCATCCTTTTCGTGCTTCAATCTAGTATTTCTCCTAAAATCAATTCTAAACTTAATCAAACCCTCTTAAAATTAAGATATAAACTCCAAAAGATATTTTCAATTATTTGTAGGAACAACATATCCAAACTAATCGCAAACGAAAGAGCAGACAAATAATCTAATCATAACAAATGAAGAAACATAATAAACTGCCGAATGAATTAAAGTTGAATTAAAAATGTATTACACACATATTAAAGTTGAATTAAAAGCGAATTAAACATGAATGCAAAATGTAGCAAACTAAATAGCATTATGTGATTTGTAAACTAAATAAAACTTGTATCAATAATGAAATAATCAAGTAATTCAATCGTAACAAATTAACCAATAAACTGCAAAATGAATTAACTTGTATTAAAAGTGTATTACACAAATATTAAAATTGAATTAGAAGAGAGAATTAAGCACGAATAAAAAATTTAACTAATGAAAGAGCAGTCAATGATCTACAAAGTGAATTAAACTTATATAAAAAATGAATTAAACAAGTAATCTAATAGTAACACATAATAAACTACAAAATGAATTAAATTTGCATTAAAAGTGTATACACAATATTAAAGTTGAATTAGAAGAGAAAATTAAGAATAAATGAAAAATGTAACTAACGAAAGACAAGACAATAATCTATAGATTGAATTAAACCTGTATTATTCATGAATAAAACATGTATTATATGTGTTATAAATTATTTTGGTTTGTATCACTAAGAACATGAGTGATGTTTGCAATATATATTAAAAATGTAATGTGCATGTATTATAAATGTATTATTAAGTGTGTTACCTAAATCATTTGGTTGGTCTCACTAAGAAGACAGTAAAGTTTGCAATATGTATTATAAATAAACTATTCAGTATTTTAATACAATTATAAAACATATCTAATTCAACTTTAATACAATTGCGATATAGTTCCATAACTTTACCTTTTTTGAGTTTCAATCTTATATTTCTCCTAAAATCAATTATAAACTTAATTGAACCCTCTTAAAATTGAGATATAAACTTTAATCTGCATTTTCAATTATTTGTAGGATCAACCAATCCAAACTAATCACGAGTTCGTAAGATTCATAAAATGAATTCAAAATTTGAAGCTTTATAGTGACCATCAATGGTGAATTCTTGTTGTTGTAATTTTAGAGATTTGAAATTTTTATTTGAGAATATGATATTGTAAAATAAATATTTTTTTTTATTTCTCTTCTCGTCGTGTTTTTGGATAAAAATAGTGAAATATGGATAAAAATTGATTTGAGAATAATTATTTAAATGAAAATTTTAAAAGAAGAAGAATAAAAAAAGAAGCGGAGGAAGAGAGAATAACACAGAAAGAGACGAAAAGAAGAAAAATAAAAAGAAGAAGATGAGGAAGAGAAAAAGGACAGAGAAAGAGGCGAAGCGATACAATTTTTTAATCCAAAAAATTGTTATATTAAGTTAGAAAAATTATATTGTCATAGATGGTAAATATTTTCTTAATATATCATATTTATGTGATTTACCCATTTTTTAATCTAACCAAAACCTATATAGGAAATAATTGTTAACTGGGCTCAATTTTTGGGCTTCTGATTGTGGCCCAAAATTATCGATCAAGTAAAATAAGATTAATTACTTGAGTGGATTCCTTTTAAAAAATAATTATTTATTTTAAACATACTCTTTAATTATTACCATTTATAACAACTTCTTTAATTTATCTCTTTGCTCTGTCTCGCTCTTTCTCCCTTCCTTTCTTTCTTT